TGGAATACGTGGGACTCAGAATTATACCCAAGACAGTTTGGAGCAGCCCCTACGGTAAATACGAAGGGACATAGGTTCTCCGCCGCGTACCTGCCTGCCTGACACCACCTTTATTTTATACTCAAAAATCAGTGTCGCTGCAGGGAAGTCTCCCTGTTTATGCACTGCGGCAACTGCATTCGCTTTTCCCCAGCATTTTTCTGCCTCTACTAAATGTTAACTATTGCAAAGATTGGCTTTGCAGACTGAGATTTTTCTGCAGATGCGTGCGTTTTTCTTCAAGGGGCCACAGGAATAAATCTGCACTCGGGGTAGGCACTGGCTATAATCGAAGCTTGAGCTATTGTTTGCCATTTCTACAAGGCTCTACGTCTGATTTTCACGAGAACCCAAGTTGCTTCTGGAAGGGCGCCTGCAGTCAGAAGGCTTCACCACCACTTCCCTCCTCTGCAGCCTTTTCAGTCCAGCCTGAAGAGGAGAGTCCTTGCCACTCAGCCCTCCCGTGAATACCCCCTCCCTCTCCATCAGCAATTCATTCAAAAGTGCAAACTAACTTTAGCCAAGCCCGCCCGAGCAGGCTGTGCGCCAGGTGAAGGCGGTGAATCTGCTGGTGGAGAAAATCACGCCATACGTCTTGAAGGCAAACGTAAATTATTTTTGAATTAGCCTCTCTTTGGGGATTATCTGTGCTACTGTTCCCCTCCACTCGTATGGACAATTGTGAGTCAGATGTAGAAGTCAATGCCTTCTCCAGAAGGCAGTGCTTGCTGGGGCTACTGGGTATAGACAGAACACCCGGTTAATCAAGGAGACCCTGTGGTGTACCCTCAAGCGCAGCCATTCTGAAGTGGACCAGGGCTGTGGCTGTTGGGTGTCCAGACACCCAGTCCTCTTGGCTTAATCAAGCAGTGGTAGTGGGGGCAGCAGTAACAGTGCATTATCTGTAGGGACTGTAATAGGTGAGTACCAGGAACTGGCCAGAGCCATTAGAAAACTTGTTAATCACAGCAGGCATGTTTAATTTCTCTCTAACATAACCTCTGTACCTCCTCTAAGATGCCATCCCAAGTTCCCTCAGCCTGGGTGACTTTTGTTTTTTGATTGGCATATAGCTGATTTGCAATGTTGTGTTAGTTTCTGGTGTACAGCATAGCGATTTGGTTATACATACATATATATATATATATTCTTTTTCATATTCTTTGTCATAGGTTATTACAAGATACTGAACATAGTTCTCTGTGCTATACAGTGGGACGCTGTTTATCTGTTTTATGTATAGTAGTGTGTCTGCAAATCCCAAACTCCTGATTTATCCCCCGCCCTTTTCCCCTTTGGTAACCATAAGTTTGTATTTTGTATCTGTGAGTCTGTCTCTGTTTTGTAAATAGTTCATTTGTGTCATCTTTTTAGATTCCACATATAAGTGATACCATAGATTTGTCTTTCTCTGTCTGACTTACTTCACTTAGGATGAGAATGTCTAAGTCCATCCATGGTGCTGCAAATGGCATTATTTTATTCCCTTTTTATGACTGAGTAGTATTTCATTTTGTGTGTGTGTGTGTGTGTGTACCACAACTTCTTTATCCAGTCGTCTGTCAGTGGGCATTTAGGTTGCTTCCAAGTCTTGGCTACTGTAAATAGCACTGCTATGAACATTGGGATGCATGTGTCTTTTCAAATTTGAATTTTGTCTGAATATATGCCCAGGAGTGGGATTGCTGGATCATGTGGTAAGTCTGTTTTTAGTGTTTTAAGGAATCTCCATACTGTTTTGCATAGTGGCTGCACCAAACTACCTCCCCACCAACAGGGTAGGAGGGCTCCCTCTCCAGCATTTATTGTTTGTGGACTTTTTAATGATGGCCGTTCTGACCGGTGCGAGGCGATACCTCACTGTAGTTTTGATTTGCGTTTCTCTGATTGCCTTAGCTGTTCTTAAAGCTGGGTGGTGGATAGCAGAGCCAGCACTACCCTTCCTTGCTTGGTTCTGAGCTCTGAGCATCTATCAGTGTGAACCAAGGCTTCAAAATCTCCAGGTGTGGGATCCTTCTGAGTCTTGAATCAATTGAAACTCTGGATAAATCAATACCAGCCCTCACTGGGGCCACTGGCATTTTGGACTCTGCCTCAATACTTTGCGTTTGTCCCTGTAACATTCAGTTCATCGGATTCAGCGCATTCGTCCAGCATTTTGTCTCCTTTGCCCATCGGTTCAGCAGCCCATGTAATATCAGCCAGGCCTCAGAGGCTGTGTCCCACACAGACGTCATCGGTGAGGATGGTAGAGATGCCCTTCACGGCAGAGACCAGGGCTCAGTTGATAAATATGCATTAGGTGGCCTTAGAGTCAAGGCATAGAGCCTTGCTTGAGCCCACAAGGTCTTTCTTTACTCAGAGGAAGATAAACCAAGCTTTCAATTAATGGAATTTGCTGATCTTGAACAGCTCTAGTTCCATTGTTATTGTTCTGTTGTTGTTGTTTGATAAAACACCCAACTTGAATCTGTTTGCCTGTCTCCATCCTTCCTGCCTCAAATGGTCAGCAGCTCCCCGCTGCACCCTGCACTTCCACTGTCTTCTGCCTGCATCCATCCTCCCAGCAGCCGGAGTGATATTTTAAAAGTGTCACATTCAAGGATTCCCCACTGCTCTTGGATAATTTGTTTGCCAATCAGCCTCCTTGCCATGGCCCTGTCCCCTGTCCCCTGTCCCCATCTTCAGCCACATCTCATCCTCACTCTTCCCTTGCTCCCTGAATGGTAGCCATTCCGCCCACCGCTGTCAGCACCCGTGCTGCTGCCGTCCTGTCTCCGCCAGGCCGTAGGGGGGCTGGCCCACAGGAAGAGAGAGATGTAATGAGAATCTATTGTCAGCCTAATCTCAGCTTGTTTTTCTGACTCGGGTTGGATTGAATTCCCAACACCAGAGTTCCTGTAGCATGTGTGGGAGCAGTTCTCTCTGGGAACTTGGCCGTGATGACTCCGAGAGGTCCAGGAACTGGTTCCTTCTTGAGCAGGACTCAAAAACCGCCTCGGTCTCCACCTTGGAGCAGAGACTGCTGGGCCATTCGCAGAGGCGTACGCCCCTATCTGCTTGGGGAAGGGCTTTTGTTTATAACCCCCGAAATGAAAATTCAGTCGAGCAACCAGTCTCAAATGTTGCTCTGCAGATCAAAACTTTTAAACATGATTTTTTTTTTTATAGCCGGATCGCCCAGATAGGTGGAAATCATGTGGAGGTAATTTAAGCCTCTCTGTGTGTGCAGCTGATGGAGGAATGAACCTTCGTGGCCATGAGCCGGCCACTCCCCCATGGCTTTTTATTATTATGTGGTTAGACTTCTCTCTGAGCTAGCAATTCTCTGAATTCATGAGAAAATGTGGACTTCTCTGAAAACTGCAGAGACAGGAAAATTGGGTTCATGTGTTTGTTTTCATTATCTGGAATTATGTATTTTCTAAATGATGATCCAAGGCCACTTGGAAATAGACCCTGGTCGTTTATTTCACCCCTTCACAGCCTGAAAGGTGTAAACGTCTAAACACCCAGGGCCCTTTATTTGAGTTTTGCAATGGAAGATTAATTTATTTTTTTCTTTAATAGAGCCGTATTTTCTTCTGTATGATTAGCTGGTAAATCAGGGAATTAGGGAGAAAAAAAGAGATTTTTGCTTCTTTTTCACCTCAGTAAGGAAAAGGGGCACGATCTCTACACTTTGAGGTGTCTCATTTTGCATACCCCAGTGGGTACCACTGGAGCTAATCTTTTTTCCTTTGTGAGTACATAGTTATCACCATAATGCATGCCTACAACATACAATTACAAAGTTTAACTTTTTTTTTCCTTTGTAACGTTGTAAAAGTATGAGAAATTATACCTTTCATGGCGTTTTATTTTTCCTTCCTCCATAAGGTTTCCAGATTTCTTTAGGGATACCTAAATTCATGAATCAGCACAGCTGGGCGGTAAGGAGGAACACCGCTATGAGACAAACATTTTTCTTGTAAAAATCTGTTTGGAAGATCCCGGACTGATGGGGATTTGTTTTATAAAAGATGTTTCCCTCAGGACTGTGTGACTGTGAAGCTGATTCAAAGCATGCCTTGGTCATCTTTGCTTTTGTCTGAAAGCGTGGTTATAACATGCGAGTTTTAAACATTAAGCGGCGTGTGTAGTTAATTCATAAACCAGCAATATCGGTCCGAAAGACCAAGACCAGTTCAACCCCCATTTCCTCCAACTGCATTTTATTGCAGAAACAGAAGGCTTTGTTTTTTGTTTTTAATGTTTGCTTTTTGAGACCACCCTCCATGAATTGCCCTTTTTCTCCTAGAAGTGCCTCTGGGATTCTCCCAGAAATTCATGGAAGAGTGCGAATGTTTTCTGAGGAAACTTGATTCAAATGTAACCCACTTCAGAGACTGCCTTTATGTGAGAAGGAGTTCGTTCATGGGCTGCCCACGTCTCTGTCAGCCCTGCCCCGATCCACAGTTTCCCAGCTATTTCAGTCTTACCAAATCCCTTTTCTCCAGTGGTGTATTTCAGGCTTTTTTTTTTTTCTTGACTCTCTTTCTTTCTATTCTCTTTCTTTTGTTCTTTTCTGGTTTTCCCCCTAACCCCTCCTTCTTGCCCGACTTTTCCCCGTTTATGGGCCTGGCTGTTCCCCATTCTTCCTTTGCTTCTAACTCGATTTTTAAATGATCCGCCACAAGAAATCAGCTCCCTGGAACGGACTACTCACTGTTTCCCCAGAAGGATTGTGCAGTTCCTGCTCAAATAGATTCTCCTCCACTTTTCTCAAATCACAGAACTGGACCACGGAGGCAAAGGGAACACCCATGAGACCCTGAATTCCATCATCTTCTGTAATGATCTGGAAATGTACTACATCCCGCCCAAAATGAACGGCCATTGACTGGTTCCCGTTCCAGAGAGAGCTTTGGTCTTGCTTGTCTGTGTGTGTGTTTTGTGCAATAATGAGCTCAGCTTGTTCTATCCCATAATCAGTGATCCGGCAGAAAGGTTGGATTTCTTTTCATGGATTTCCGGGTAGAAATGGAAAACTGGTCACTCATGTTGAGAAGCTTTTACAGAGGTTGCTGGGATTGGGCGAACTTCCAGATGGAGGGGAGGCATGGGAGCCAGGGTTTGCCGAGGATGGTGTCACCTTAGTCCCAGTGCTTATAGCATGAGATATTGATGAAGCTCCAGAGGGGCATTGAGGGAAATTAAATCCATGTTTACTTTTTGCAGCATAAAAGAGAGACCCTCAAGATGACCAAGTATGTAGAGCTGGTTATCGTAGCAGACAACCGAGAGGTAAGAACTTTCTGAAATTTCTAAGTACGGTTGGTTTAAAAAAAAAAAAACAAGAAAAAGAAAATATTTAGCAAGTTATTTACTGGCTTTAATTAATCTCATTTTCTATGAGGCCTTAAAAGCATTGTAAACAACTCATTAAAAAATGCCTTTCTGCTATTATAAAGTATAAAATATTAAAAATGTATCTGGGATTACAAATATTGGCAAGGACTTCAGAGTTGCTCTATAGCTGAGATCGCCAAACAGGGAGAATTATTTGAGGGAAATGCAGATGGTTTTAGAATGTATTCTAAAACGTTTTGGGGGAAAGTGTAGTTTTAAAAATGTCCGCTATGTTCTAAACTAACATGAATGAATGAAGGAAAGCTGTCAAGACACAACAGAAAAACCCTACCTTCCAAAGTAGGGTTTTACGCTGTGTTAATTTTTTCTTTTAATTTTTTTTTGAGAGGAGAGGTAATTAAGTTAGTTTGTTTATTTACACTAATTAATTAATTTACATTTATTTTTAATGGAGATACTGGAGATTGAACCCAGACCTTGTGCATGCTAAGCATGCGCTGTACCACTCAGCTATACCCTACCCCCCACTTTTAATTAGTTTTTAATTAGTTTTTTTTTTAGATTAGCTTCTCTGTGTTCATTTCTCACCTCTGCTATATATGCTGAGTGAGGTGGCATTTTCTCACAAACCAGTTCCACGTATTTAAATGAAGCAGGCTTGACAATTTCTCAGGCAACTGTTCCCACTCTAGAATTTCTGATTAGAGGGGAGCAGGGGGAATTTTTTCACTTTTTATCCATTCTCTGTATTGTTTGACTTGTTGCCATGAGCTTCTATTACTTTTACTCTTTAATTTTTAAAAGCAAATATAAAGGAAATTTCAGAGGAAGTTAAAATCAAGTTGCTGATATGAAGAATAGCTTTGGGCTGCCTTCTGGTCGTCTGTCTGCTCTTTGCCAAAGCATGTCACTGCCTCCATCATTTATGAGGCTGGAAAAAGCACAAAAGTCACTGTCTTATGAGTATTTGGCTTGGGCGAATTTCAGGGAGTTTCAGAAAGTCCCCGGACAGGGAATTACTCGGCAGAATGGGCGCTCACTTCGCCATAAGCTAGGGAGGGGCTGCGGGATTTGCAAAGCCCAAGACTTCACATTTCCAGGAGCTGGGAGGATGAGATTTGATGGCTACTCTTGCTGTTATTAATGCTGACATTTAAAATTATTAAGTTTCAGAGGCAAGGAAAAGATCTGGAAAAAGTTAAGCAGCGATTAATAGAGATCGCTAATCACGTTGACAAGGTAAGTTCTTTGGGGGTAATTAAATCACTCAAATCATGTAAATGTTTGGAAATGATGTGGAGGGAATGGAACACCTCATCTGACTTAGGGAGGCCGGGTTCTGCCTCTGGTCCTGGGCTGGAACCCAACTTCTTCACCTGAGCTCCAAATTCCCGGGGCCGGGAGCAGCTACAGAAGATGCCATCCCATGCTGTCCAGACGGCAGTGGCCTTGGCCTACAACCCCCTCCAGACTCTCTTCTGGCCAGGCAGAGTCCCAGTCTGAGAGCATCTTGTTCTCCCCCGTTAGATCCAGAGCTCTGATAAGGTGCATCTGACCATCTTGAGAGCTCCAGGTGGACCTCTTCCCAGGGCTCCTGGGAGGGTCCCACAGGCCCGCTGAGGGTGATCTGTCATTGATAAAGGACACAAGGACTCCTGGGACACAGAAATTGGCTATTGGCTCAATCAGCTGTTGGAAAGCTTTAGCAAAGATGACTTGAGAGCTGTTAGAGACCCTGGAACTCTGGTCTAACCCGAGGATATTTGCTCACCAGTGCTCCTTACACTCCCTGTTTGCAAGATGAAACCATCTCAGCCACCTGCTTCAGCAACAGACCCTGCAGGGAGGGCGTCCGGCTGTTTGGTGCCAAGGGCTCTCAGCCCAAACCCTGTCGGAGCTGCCAGGACACTTCCAAAGGCCTTCCTGCCCGGGTGTCTGGGTGGGGCCTGGACCTCAGAATTTTCAGGCGCTCCCCGGTGGTTCTCCTGTGCTACACGGCTGGCAGCCACCGTCCTGATGCAACCGCAGTTCTCAGCAACAGCCCGCCTCCTGCCCAGGAGGACACTGGAAGCGGGAAAAGGGATCCAGCTCATTGCTGAACCTCTCATGGCCAGGATTCTCTGAAATGGCCACATTTCACCCATCGCAGTTTGAGGATGCCTCACAGTAGCTATGTTTGCAAACAATCCCATCATATTGAAATTGAGTTTTCCAAGTTTTCAGAAAGACAAAAGTAAGAGCCTTTCCAGAAGTTCAGCTCCATCCTGCGAGGCCTTCGGGGCAGCACCAAGCACTGTGCATCGAGGATTCAGGATGCACCACACCTGGAGGAGGAGGCCACAGCTTCATAGAGACACAGGCCCCCAACCCGCTTAGCGTGGCTTAACGTGATAGGAACTAGGCTGACGCTATGAATCAGGTGCTGTAGGGAGGCAGAAGAGAATCAATTCCTTCCTTCCTCCTGCGGGTCAGGGAGTCTTTGCAGGGAAGTGATTTTGAGAGGTGAGTACAGTTCCACCAGGCGCACAGCAAGGGAGGGCCTGGCTTGCTCCTCACAAGTAACTCCATCTAACTAAGCAGGGTGTGTATGTGCACCAGTGCATACACACATGTGTGCACGTGTGTGTATGTGTGTGCATAGCTAGGGCAGGAGGAGGTGAAGCTGCAGGAGATTTCGTGGCCAGGGCCCTAAGTGTCCTGCAAAGCTGTCTAGACCCCATCGTGATTTTATTCTGCTGTCCATGGGGAGCCAGGTGAGTGTTTTTAAGCAGGGACGACATACAGGGTCACACATAGCTGTGCCTGCAGTCAGTGTGGAGGATGGAGACACCAAAGACAAATAGGGCTGGTAGGAGTCTATCAAGACAGAAGTCATAAAGATTTGACCCATGGCTGGGGAAGTGGGGATGTGAGAAAGACGAAGATTTGGGGGCATTTAAAGAGTCATGGTTCCTGATCAGTTTCTTAAGTAGTTGCTACATTCCAGACGCTAAGCGCGCTGTGCAGACCCTCCCAGGTGGACACCAGTATTCCCACTGTTACAGCAGACGAAGCTGGGGTTTGCAGAGGCTAGTCAAGCAGTCAGCACACGTTCAAGTAGCATTCGAAGGCAGGATCAGGGATGAGCCCTGGTCTCCTCTGCAGGAGCCCCTGGCCTCGACTCCACCCACTCACAGTGGCTCCCAGCAGAAGCAGAGGCTGAGAAGAGCAGGGGCCCAAATGAGCACAAGTTTGGGAAGACAGGTAGACGGGGCTTCAGACCCAAGGAAGCAAGAGCAGGAGTCTCATGGGGCACCCTGAACAGTCGGAGATCGGGGCTTGGTGTGCAGAGAGAGGCTGTGGTTGGATGGGACTTCTTTAGTTTGTAATGGAGGTGCTGGGATTGAACCCAGGACCTCGCACATGCTAAGCACGTGCTCTACCACTGAGCTGTACCCACCCCCCACAGAACTTTCTGAAAGTGGGGAAAATGCAGGTGGTTGTTGGCATCCTAGGACGCACCATCATGGTCCCCCAGAACTTTTAGGCATGTCAGATTCCCAGGCAGCCCATCCTTGCTGCTGTGCTTTGACAGCTACTTTTTGAAAGTTAAACTTTATCCCTAAGTCAAAGAGACGCAGGAGAATGTTTGTAAATGGCGATGCTTCCGGCTGGGGGTGGGTGGTGACGACGGCTCCCAGAGCGTATGCCAGAAACCATGAGGAGTCAGACCTGGTTCTCAGGCTGGGTGAGCAGTGGAATCCCCTGGAAAGGTTTGTTTGTTTGTCTGTATGTTTGCCTTTAAAATACTGATTCCAAGTCTCAATCCACAGACTCTGGTTTGACTGGCCTGGGTGGAGCCTGGGGCAGATACGTTCCGGACACCTCCAGGGATGTGAGCATGGGGTGGGACCAAGAAGCAAAGGATTCGAGCGCTTGCTAGGGCTTGGAAGTGAAAGGAAACCATGAGCAGTGTTAAATTCGAGCTGGTAGTTGCTGAAATCCCGTTTTAAAGTGATATCCTGGGTCCTCCCTGTTTGTATTTCTTTACACGTCACTCTCTACTATATCTTGCTTCAGTTTGCAAAACCAAAACTGAGCAACTGGGGGTTGGTGAATAACTTGCCCTGGTCAGAGAAGTCCTGACCGACTCGATGACGTTCACCAGCCTGCCTGTCCCTGTGTCTCCGGCAGGGAGCTCTGAACTGCTGAGTGCACGTGTGCATCTGCCCCCAGCAGACCCTGAAGACCCAGGGGGGCACCCAGGCTCCTTCGGATGCTCCGTGCACCCAAGTCTACTAACGGATGGCCCTGAGCTCTAGTGAGTGTTCCAAGGTTTAGTTCTGCAGCTACAAGTGCAAGCATCTTGGGTTAAAAAACAATGTTCCAGTGGCCACTTCCTCATTTGCAGAAATCTTGGCTCTTAATTAATAACCGCTTGGCCGGCTGCGTTGGCATGAAGGGAAGAGGACAGCCTGGACTGAGAGTCTGAGAAGTGATTTAGGGACAAGGGTGACGTTCAGAAACATTCATGAAATTCCTCTGCGCATGAAACACAGAAAGCAAGTCTGATGCTCGTACTTGTAGGCAGACCTCTACACGGGCGCCAACAGGCTTTGCCCGGGGTCCCGATTACATGGCGGGGCTGGACCGCCGGGGCGGGAGCAGCGGGCTGTGTGGCCGCCCAGTGAAGTGATCGCCTCTTGAATCTCTCCCATCCAGTCAGTCCGCATCCTTACTCATTAGGAAGTTAACACCAGCTGTAGATTCGTTCAGGGGCAGCTCTGCACCTACTTCTAAAGGACTCCTCTTGTGTGCATTTAACTTCTTTTGGTCTTTTCCCTTTTGTGTGAGTCCTCGCCCGTCCTCTCCCAAGCCAGTGGCCTGAGGAACGCCACGTTTTGGACTCCAGCAGACTGCCCTATAATTCCACCCTTGTTCTTTCAGATGTCCTTTGAGCCCTCAAGCACAGCATCCCCTAAACTTCCTGTTTGCACCCCTTCTTGGCAGTTCACTCGATTGGCGTTTACTGTGATTGTGCCCCAGCGTCCCACGCCTTGAGCCTCTCGCTGACCTCTGAGCCTTGGGGAGTCAAGGGCAAGGGTATCTTAAGCCTTGTTCTTTGTGCCAGTGCCAAGCCTAGCACAGAGCCAAGCAAGAGCCTGTCGCTGTTGTGTTAATGGGTGAACCAATTCAGCTGGTCTCGGACCGTGTCCACACGCCCTCTGGGACTCACAGGCCAAGCAGGCAACTGCCAAGCCCCGGTTTTGCTTGTCTCTGGACGTGGGGTCACGGTGGATTACCCTGGAAGGGAATCACCGCTCTTGCACTTGCCCAGCTGTGTTGCTCCGTGGTTTAAAACCTGGGCGCCAGCCGGCCTGTGTTGATACCCAGCTGCGCCACTCACACCTTGAGTGTTTACCTGGTCGCTCCACGTCTGTGTCCTTGACCATAACGTGGAAATCATAATAGTTCTTAATCACACGGTGTTGCGGGCTAACTAAGAGAGCTAAGGCATGGAAAGCACTGAACCCTGTGCCTCGGACATAGTAAGTGCTCATTAAGTGTTAGCTGTGGTCACTGTTGTTAGGAAGAACCAGAAGGAAGCCAGCAGCAGCCTGCGAAGCGCATCCCCACAGGCAGCGGAGGGCCTGTGTGTGATGACTGGATGTGAGTTTAGCATCGAAGACAGTTAATCAGTAGCGCCGGTTTTGGAGAGGAAGGGCTGTATTACGTCCTTCCACAAATGACATCTGGACGTGTTCTAAGGATGTGACTTGAGAGGCCTGAAAGGTGGAAATTACAGTCCGTCCCTGAGGACGTCACTGAGCAGGCTGGTGTGGATGTCGGCGCTGGATCGCCAGCGTTTCCGCCTTCTGATCGCTGGTACCTTTGTGTCTAATACTGCCGAACGTGGAATCGCTCCATCAGAAGGCAGCAGCCAGACATGTGCGCTGAGTTCCAGAGGAGGCCGGGAACTTCATTTTGCCTGGGAAGCCTGGGCTGGGAGCTTGCAAGTGGAGAACACAGGCCAAGCAATTCTTGATTAAAAACAAGCTGTTGGGCAGCATTTCGGTCGTATAATTGTCTCATTAACGTATTAATATAATGCCCGTAATTGTTATCTGCCTCAAACCAAGTTGGGCTGCTGCAGTCAGTTTATATTCTGTTATGGACTCCGTGTCCCAGTCACATTCTTCTGCTCACCTAATGCTTACCAGATGGCAGTAGGGAGACTGGCCAGGGAGAGGATGATCTGCCTCATGTGGGTCAGAACCCGGGTCAGTGCTCAGCCCCGTGGAGCCCATTGCCCTTGCGCTCACCACATTGGAATGGCGTTGCACTAGCGAATGCAGAGCTTCTGTGATTTTTGTTACTTGTTGGTCCAAGATGCTTCCAACAACTAAGAATAGGACCTGGTCCCGTCTGGAGCTTGGCTTGGGCTGGATCACTCGCCACATCTTTCTCTTTGGCTCCCCAGAGTATGGGAAGATGAGGACTTTCTCACTGGGTATTGCCTCACAGTGCCTCACACGCTGCAGATATTGAAAGATTTTCCAGCCAGCCAGGTGAGCCCGTGTTCCTACCCCCGGGCCCTGGGCCAAGAGCCACCTCCTGTCTGCATGATGCCCATGGGGGTAGCAAGGTAGTGGAGGCAATGAACAGTTCTTACCCCTACCCTGACCGCTCATCCTGTGCCAATAAGCTCGTCTGGGATCAAACTATTCCTTAGCCATCAAAAGAGTTGCTCTTCCGACCTCTGACCCAGGATGATCTGCTTACGGAGGAAGGGCTATAGGTTGAAGTCAGGATGCATAAAGATAGGGGAGAGACAGGCAGGAAGACTGGATGTGAGTGGTGTATCTGAAGAAAAGAAGAACTCCCTTTACCAGATCTTTCCCACAACACCATTGATGAGCTAACATCTGGCTGCGAGGAGAATGGTCCTCAACCTTCCTGAAGGAGGTCTCGGTGTATGCCTTTATTATCCTTAAAGATATTGCTCTCTCCATTTATTTGAAACCTTCTAGGTCAATTACAGGTGACAGAATCTGATCATGCCAGCCAAGTGTTAGTCTTTGCTGAAAAATTAATATAGACTCATTTTCAGTAACTCATAGGTAGAACATTTTGCTTAAAAATGAACAAATTACTGCCCTTGGCAGAGTGTCTGAAAGATCCTGATTCACTTTTTGTTTTTGTTGCAATAGACATTCACTGGCCATCTTTAGCTGTAGTGTAACTGCTTTAGCTGTGCTATGCATCTGTATGCCCACTTCACATCACCAATGAATCGGCTGAAATGTGTGCTTCTGTACAGATAAGGACAGACGTCAAAAGGGCTGGTAACTCTAACATCTGATTGGCCAACAGGACTTGACAATCCAGTTAACACATCACTTTGCATCAGACGTTGAACATATTTCTTAAATTCTAATGCCAGGGAAAGTAGGGAGCACAGAGATATTTTTCATGTCACATCTATGAAGGGCAGAAGGTGCAAATCAGAATCAGTTCTACTCGGCATTTTAAGTTCTCATTAACGTGATCCCCGAAGGATGCCTGTCTTCTGTCTTCCTCAGTTTTACAGACCACTGAACATTCGAATCGTGTTGGTCGGTGTGGAAGTGTGGAATGACATTGACAAATGCTCTGTAAGTCAGGACCCATTCACGAGCCTCCACGAGTTTCTGGACTGGAGAAAGATGAAGCTTCTACCTCGCAAGTCCCATGACAATGCACAGCTTATCAGGTAAGGCGTCTGTTGTCTCTCCTTTGCTTAAAAAAAAAAGTGACTTCAGCACATCTGCCTTCCCCTTAGCCTCACCTGCACTGTCCCCGAATCTGCACCTGTCCTGCAGAACACTGGACAAGGGGCAAGGGGGCGTCTCAGCCCACACCAGGTAGGGGAGGCCATCTCGATTGACATTTGGAATCTGCCAGGTAAAACCTTCCTTTAGGGACCCTGGAAAACATGCCCTTCTAGCTGGTGGCTAACTTCCTTCTTCCAATACCCAGACATTTTCCCCCATGCAGCTTTCCCTAGGTTTAGTCTTGATGCAAAGTTGTCCTGAATAGTGTATTTTTTAAAAGCTCATTTTCTGTCATAATTAGCAAAAAATGTTTATCCAACATCTGAAAACAGTACCTGTGGGTGATCATTGACAGCTGCCTGGAGAAAGAAAACCATCATTCCTTCTGTTTTGCTGTTACTCTTGGTTTTCTAGATCAGAGGACACAGCAGTAGAGCAGATCAACCTTGTGTTCCATCGTTCAGTCGATGTGGTCGAGCACCTGTTAGGAACCAAACATGTTTTAAGGGCTTTGAACGTAATGGTGAGCAACACTGTAAACCTCCCTGCTCTGGGGAGTCTCCAGTCTGCTGGGAGGAGACAAAAATCAACAAGGACATTTCAGAGTGTGATGAGTGTCATGAAGATAGTAAAGTGAATGAAAGCACACTTGTAATTTAGCATGATACGCTGGTAACATATTACAGACACTTTTATATTTAAACAAACAAACAAACAAAGCCTGTCACAGTCGAAGCTGGAACGGTGTAGATGTTTCCTGACGTGACAAGCTTTTTATTAAAGTCCCTAACCAGTGTCCTCGTGCTCCCTTGTATTTCGTATCGCTGAATTGGAAGCTTTGGGGTCGCAGACACTTCCTTAGACAAACTGAATCTGGGGAAGACAAACTGACCACTTTGGGGAAGTTAAAAAGCACCCCTTCCCCATCCTCACTTTAGAAAACGCCTGCCTCTGAACTGAAGTTGTTGGCATCCCCTGATGATTTGCTTTGGCGATTTCGCAGGGTTGTTTTATTTTTTTTCTCCCCACCCTGGATATTTGTGGTTGCCTCATATTTTATGCACTGATTAATCCTGAATTACCAAAAGTGGAGTCAGAGTGTTTTGTTTTGATTTCTTTCCCCAGAGGGAGTCTGTCCAACTTGAACATCTGGGAATAAATTAGCCTCTTATATAACCTTATTGTTTATATATGTATAATTGTATCTGTTAAAATGGTCTATACAGATGTAAATATAAAAGTTACAATTCCTGCTGCTGTACATGTGAGTGTAACAGGATGGATGGATGGTCGGATACATACGTATGTACATAGATGAGGTTATATTTTGTATACATTTACCCCATTTCGTCCCGCTGAGAACTGCCAAAATATATAACTTTTCAAATAATATGTGTGCCATCTAGATAAGTAAATGGCCAAGATTACATGGGCAAGTCGTCGGTGTCTCTTAAAGGAGATTCAGCAAATCCAAACAATGTTTAAGTTTTATTCCTTGAGGTTGGAATTAACAGCATTGCATTATGGACTCGATGTCATTAGCCTCCTTGATGAAGGTTCCATGTACGGGAAAAGCCTGCACCTAACTCCTGAGGTCCCCTTCCAGAAGCTTCCTCCTGGGGTGCCAAGGCTTTGTGCGTATTTACCTCCACACTGAGTCCAGAGGATCAATCTTTTGTTGTTGTTGTTGTTGCAGATTTCGCTTTTTCAGGCTACATTAGCAGGACATCTTGGAAGAGTTTGGGGTTCTGACCTAACTGTTATGTTACACAGGAAAGCAACATTCAGCTGCAGTAGGAAATCTAGTACAGCATCTAATGCATTTCATGTGTTAACAGTGATTCATTGGGACTCTCTGCAGCCCTTCCATCCGCAGACATTGTTTCAAAGGGCAGCTCCCCGCAGTTCATTAGGAAACAGGCAAGATACAATATAAATACACGAGTCATGACTGGTTGTTGTCCGAGTCTTGAAAACAACAAAAATCTGAAAGGATTATGGGAGCATGATGCGACTGGAAAATAAATTTTAGCAGTAAAGACAGAAATCACCTGTCAACGTATTTTCATGCTGCTATTTTTGTCTTTGCATATGCTTTTTCAGTCGTTGTTAGGAATGCAGGAATGTCCAACAGAACTTCAAAATATTAGAAAATGTCCTTATGCTCCATTAATTTAAGAAAGCCATTTCTTTTATTTTCTAGTGGAGTCTATTTCCAGGGGACCACCATCGGCATGGCACCCATCATGAGCATGTGCACCGCGGAACAGTCAGGAGGAATCGTCATGGTAAGCCAGGAGCGCCGAGAAGCTGACGGCAACGTCCAGACCTAGCTCCTTCAGCGATTTCTCAGGAAATCTCTCCTTTTATGAGACTTCGTAAAGTTAGGTCCTCTTCTGTCATGCTTCCTAGATCTAATTCTACCCTGGTTCTAGCTCTGTTTGTGGTCTTCCGTATCCCACAGTATTCTAGGGACTGTTTATAAAACACACCAAGCTGCACACAGGAAAGGTGAGGGTGTACACACAGCTCAGTGGAAGCCAGCCTGCACCTTTTATGGAGAAAAATTTCAACTGAGATTTCAGCCAAAGCATTTCCATCCAGGAATTCCTCCCAGCAATGGGATGAGCCAGGGCCCTGGGGTTGCCCTCATCATTCAGGTTCTGGGATGGACTGTGTTCTCACCAAACATTACTATTA